GGAACACGGATTACTTTTTAAGTTTGCAAACTGTTTTTTCTAAATGGTAGGAAAGAACAGAAGCGCCTTTAAAAGTTCATCCTGTTCTGACACTGTAATGTTTTATTAGCATTTAAGAAGTATGTCTACAGTGAAGTCACAACAGAAAGGCACAAATATCCCAGGCTACCACTGAACTTGTGAGCTTAGACAGTGTGTGGGCAGGCCACAAAGCTTGCCCCAAGGCAGGTAAATACATGAGAGCCATATGGTTACACAACTGATATCCAAGCTAGCTGGAAGACTGACTGATGAATCTCCCTTTCTACCGCTGCTACTTACCACTTAAGAACAGAGCTGTGTTCATCACCCTTTTAGATCGTAAGGTCAAAGCTGACTGCTATTACCAGGAGCCTAACTGGCACAAGGGACACGCTACTTCTACTGATGTCCTACAGATGGGAAGCATTCAGTGTCCCTGAGATATCAGGTCCTACACGGAAAAGTATTTCAAACAACAGAAACATAATTCTTATGGTAGTTGAAGCAAGAGAGGTTTGGAGTAGATACAGGGAAAAGCTTTTTGATCGTGAGGACAATCAAGCCCTGGAACAGGTTGCCCAGAGAGGCTATGCAGTCTTCACACCCTTTGAGGTTTTCAAGAGCTGACTGGATAAAACCTTGAGCAACCTGGTCTGGCCTCACAAATGATCCTCATTTACACCTCCTGAAGTCTCTTCTCACATGAATTATCTTGTGGTCCTATAATCCATTTTCTTACCCTAAGACAGATCCTTAAAACTCTCACCACCTGCTGTCTCCTAGCACAGTCGATGTACCTTCTATGATGTGAGCGTTGGCCATGTTACAGATATCCTCTCAGTTCCCACAAAGGATCTATTTCTTCTCCTTTGCCTTTGTACAAGTACATCCCTTGACAATCTCCTTTCAAACTCAGCTTTATCACCTCTCACAAAATTCAATGTTATCACTTCATTTTTAACCATTGCTGTAAAAAAGAAAAAATCAAAAGACAGAAAATATCCTGTAGAATAAACCTTCAAATTCCTGAAGACAAGAAATATGGACCAAACGCAAGGTGCCTAAAGATGCCAACAGAAATCATTTCAACATGCACACACCAAATCCCTCCTTTAGACTTTAAGCAGATTTAGGAACTATTTTCTTAACAGCCAATATCAATGGCAAAATATTCTGTGGCTTCAAGGGCACCTACTCAAACTATTAAGCAAACTTTTCAAAACTGAAGCCAAAGAGATTCCTGGCATTTGAACAACGATAAAATGACAAACACGGTACTATCAGTATCTACCATCTTTCTAAGGCCTTGTCTCTATAAGTGAATTTATACCAATTTGGCTAAGTAGATTTGCTATTTCTAATTTGGTTACTTTCATTCAGCAAATTGCCAAAGAAAGCTAAAACAATTCAAACTAAGTTTAAGAAAGCTTAAAGTTATACATTTAGCTAATCAAAACAGACCATTTGATTTCAGTTAAATGAACGGAGACAAGGCCTGACCTCTGCGTCTCCCAGAGGGCTGCCTTTATTCAAGTATACGGAAAGACAGAATGAACTGGGTGGAATGCATTGCTATCTCAACCTAGCAGTTGCATTTTAAATTAATTCCAGACAAGACAAGCGTCTACAAAAGGTTCACAAAAAGGAGAATCAGGCCGCCTGCTTTACTTCCAGACCACAAAAGAAAGCTTTGCAGTCATAATAACTGGTTTATTTCTTTATCAACCTTATAGTTCAACCCTCATACTATATCCCATTCTACCTCCACAATAATCAGATCCCCCTACCATAATAAACTACTCCACTGCTTCAGTCAAGGCTTGCCCACCTGCGATACCAATTATTACCCTATAACTGAGCACTGCTTAAGTTTAAGTGCTATGTCACTACAATTAAGTTACAGAAGCGATGAACGCTCATAAATTACTAATGGCTGAGGTTTAACTGAAGCCGCATGAGTTGTCCAAGGTTTCTTTTTTTCTCCCTCAGCACTGAACTGCAGGGCAGGAGCCAGGTAGAAAGCAGCAGCGTGTGGAAACGTACATAACATGGGATGGGACCGAGAGCTAAAATGGAGTTTCATCAGGAACAGCTTAATGAATACAGCAGCTCTGGCCCCAAGAGGAGCAGCTACAGGCCTGCGCGCCGCCAGCCAGCGCTACCTCGCAGGCAACTGCTGGGCCCGGCTGCGGCAGGCGGCGCTCCCGGGGCTCCATCGCACCCGGGGCGGGTGCTGGGGCCTGGCAGCAGGTGCCTTCCCCGGCTCTAAGCGCTCCGCAGCCTCGCCAGCCCCGCGCAGGGCGGCTGGCTA